CTAGGCTTAGTTGCGCTCAGCGTATAGGAGAATCACTAATATGGGATACCCACGCTAAAGAGGGTTCTGGCACTCTTTATAATATGCAACCCAGTGACAGATATGGAATAGCTTATTGTGCTACATACTGCGACTATAGTGACTGATATTAAACTGCGCTCGTTTAGGCGAACTATAAAAATACATAGAGGCTGAATACAGATGTAACATGTTCGAAAAGTCAAGCGCTCTACACTCTTCCAACTTCCAAATTGTTTATCACGCTCCAAATCACGGTCACAAGTTGAGTGCTTTCAGGAGAAGAGAGAATTTCCGCAGTACTTGAAGAGCAACTTTGCATTCATATACTGAAGTCTTAGATCGCAAAGTTTCACCGGAGTTTCAGATTTTACATCTCAGTTTCAGTTAAAGTTTTATTTATAAAAACATGAAAAGAACTAGCAAATCTGGAAAAAAGACGTGCAAAACTTTGATTTCCGGATGTTGGGCCTAATTTTGTACGCATAAAGAAACGATTCAGGCAAAAACCGCTCTGTACTACCTCCTGCTGAACATGCATTATGACGGTGGTCAGAACAGTAGACAGTACATATGCTGTCCAAGTACGTGGTCCAGTAATGTTCCTTAAAAATCATTTTTCGAGATTTATCAGTTTTGAATTTCTGACAAATTTACAACGAACAACGGTGATTAAAAAACGAACCCTGTACATGGAAAGGTCGATACGAAGTGAATTATGCAGTTGGTCCAGCAATTTGACAAACCGATCTTTGCCAAAATTGGAAGCGCTGAAGCGATCGGACGCCGAAACTGCGGATGTAGCAGTGGTGTGAGCGTAGTAGGCGTTGATGTTGGCCAGCAGTGTTGATAATACGGCCGGTACACCTGGGCACATATATCGCGTACAAAGACACGCAAAATGCGTCATCGCCTGAAAGCTCCTATTTCCTATGTTGGAAGTAATAGCAAAGACATGACAACGATGATCGTGATCACGGGAAGGCGGTAAGGAAATAGGTTTAGAATTGCTATTAGCGGAGAGTGTAAACTCAGCCAAACCGCAATATACCCGACCCGTTATAGTATAGCGTGAAAACGGTTCAAAAAAAATACTTGGCTCAACGGAGCTCAGCCGGGAACATGCACTGAAACCTTGTTGACTCGGGTTTGGACTGGAAAATTGTTATAATAAAGAATTAAAATTAGGGAGGAAGGGGAGAAGGGAGAGATGATTAAAGGAAGAGAACTGTAAGGCTAAGAACATGTGGCAAGAAACCGTATGTCATGTTATGGAGTCATGTAAAAAGGATTATGTAGGGGGAAATCTGGCAGTGTTTCATCCCTTAACTGTAACCACTTGACAGTAATAATTTAAAGCCAACCGAGTTCAACGCTAAAAGCAAGGATTTCGAGAGAAAAGAGGACAGTGGCAATACATAATGAGAAGATAATGCTGATAAGTTGGATATGTGTTGTGACTCAAGTCAACTGTGTTATTGCTTTAAAAAGAAAAAAAGCTGCTGAATAAATGTGACAAGACCGGGAACTTCACTGCCAATAAGTAAAAACATAACTGGCCAAGTGTGAAGAAGCTTTCAACTACGCCAACACTGTGCAGTTCGTCGGCTTATGAAGACAAGGAAAAGTATAAGGCTCCATCATCCTCAGATATTGTATATTTTCGTTTTTATGCGTTTTTGCATATTTACACAAATGTAAAAATGCATATCACTATTGGCGCTCACTTAACTTATTAACCAGACAGGGCAGAAACGGTATTTTTTTGAATTCATGTGCGGGCCACCAATTGTAAAGATGAACTTCTGCGAAGGCATGGTCCTGTGTACATACGCGTCAAATGTTCAAATTGCAACACGGAAATCACACTCCAGCAAACAGTGTTTTTTTACAGGATGAAATCAAGAACAACGCGTGACCGCATTAGTAAGCCTAGTGCGTCACCAGCTAAGTTTAAAATCCAAAACATTGATAAATCAGATGTCACACAATCAACTTGTTCTTTTAAATACTAGACCAAGAATACCAAAGTCGCTCGGACAACCGATGCGGGGGTCTTCTTGTTAGTGATGTTACTGGGATGCTCCCACACGCTTGGACTCAGCTAGGCCAGACTTTTCGATTTGATTTTGAACTGCACATCTATGCGCTTATTTATTTAAACATAAGCCACGACTTTGATTTTTTCCCAAGTTCAAAAACAATCAAACTTTCAGACAACTGGAAATTAAAAAGGTATGCCATATCAGTATTAAATTTCAAATG